GTTAACAAAAGGCTTAAAATAAAGAGGAAAAAAATCATCAGTGTCATAGTTTGGAAGGATCCAACAAGTAAATACCTCTAATTGTTTGGCATATTATTATCACTGCCATTATTGCTGTTATTTAAATAAGTTGATAAGTCATGATCTGTTCCACTATACAAGCTGCTTATAATTATAGTTAAAAGTTCAACATTTTAAGAAATAGTTTCCAAGGAAAGGTCAGTGGTCTGAGATGTTTGTTTTGCTGATGGTTTTGGTCTGTTAATCACTCAACTATCGTCAGAACGTGAGAGATTTGTCAAAGGAGGATAAAGATAAACTTTTCAGAATCTGGGTTGGGACACAGGTTTTCTGTGGCCCTTGAAAGAACCAGCCAGCAAATATTTATCTAACAGATTTCTCTACATCACTTGGATGTAAAATAAGTGTGAAGGTGCATATTTCAGAGCAAAAGGGCACTTTGGGCTTTGTGGCCAGATTCCTCGATATCATGTTCTGTCACTTTCTGGCTGCATGACAGGCCAAAGTGTTTAACCACTCTGTCTCAGAGATGACCACAATGTCTACCTTATAGGGCTGTAGTGAAGACTGCATGAGATATAGTGTGTGGGAGAAGACCTAAACAGTACACTCAAGCTCTGAGCCAAGAGCCCTACACCCACAATCCCATGTGTGCCTGGTGTCCTTGGCTATGGAGTGAGGATATGAATGAATACGATATATATCTGCTCTGAGGTCACAGCTGATAAGAGCTTACAGCTGCAGTTATGGGCCCCTCTTGGCATCAAAATCCCAAGAAATTGAGGGGCATTTAAGGTATAACTCATGGAAATATGAATGGCTTCCATTTATGGAGCTTCTGGTACATATTAGACACTGTTTTAAAGCCCTACAAAGTAGTTATTGTCCTCCTGATTAGCAAAAGAGGAAACTGAGACTCCAAAAAGTCCTGTGGATTATGGAGCCCACACAGCTGATAAACAGAAGAGCAGGGATTGAAACTCTAGAGCTCTTCTTATAACAGACCATTGAAGAATATACTAATTTTTTAAAAATCTGATTTCACAAAGCAGAAACGTTATGAAGTCAGTATTGACATTAGAAAAACCCTCTTGAGTTTCTTTGAGTAATAATTCTCCAGGTGGAGGAAATATTTTGTTTCAGAACCAGTACTTGACAAAGAATGCTGAAAGGAGACAAACAAATCTACAGTGTCAGAGAATTGTTTGGAGACCAACCGCTTGGAGGCTGTGATGTTAAAAGGACAAATAAAGTGACAACAAGAGAGATGGCACAAAGCCCTGCATGTTTGCCCAATTAGCTGTACACTCAGCTAACAAGTCCCAAAGCCCTAAAATAAATTGATGAAGAAAACTGAGTGTGATTCGGTCAAGTTTAAGAGCATATGCAACACCCAAAGACATTCTAATTCCATTTTTTTTTAAATGGCTGCCCAACGAAACACACCTGCAGCCCACCCATTCATAAATCTTGTGATAATAAATGCCCACAAATAAAGTAGAGCTAATTTGAGGTTAGGACAAACGGGGAAGATTACGGAGGACCGAGGATTCAAAGTGCAGATGAAGCATGGACTGACTTGATTAGAAGGCAAAGGTTTTCCAGACAAAAGAAAAGTGGGAATGAAAAATGAAGGCGAAGATGGTGCAGGGAATGTCTTGTGGGTAAGAAAGAAATCAATCTGAGTAAGTCAAGTTCAGCACTGTTAATTGGAAAGAACATGAGTAAAAGCTGGGGGATGTAGGCCTTGTGAACCCCAGGAACAGAATATGGAATTTGACTTGTAGGAAGGAGAGGGATTAGAGGTTATTGAGCAAGAGAGTAACATTATCAAGTTGTATCAAGCATTTTAGGAAGCGTGATAGAGCGGTTGTGTGAGAAATAAGTAAAAGAGAAGATTTGCACGGGTGCTTCCTGCTTACTTTATGGGAAGTCAGTGAAGATCTTGTTTAGTGGCAGGAAAAATGTAGAGGGAGAGAAGGATGGGAGTCTGCTTGGATGTGAAAAGTGATGGGAAGGATGAGGTCTACTTAGAGAAACCAAAAGTGAGCACTGTCTATTATTAGGCAGTTTGATGCAGGTACTGTCTGCAGCCAGCAGCCCGACTTTATGTCTTCAATTTTTATCTTTATTAGAAGCATAAGTTACATGTTTTACATAGTAGGAAATTATTTCAGAGATAAAAGTTTTAGTTTCCAGGAGCCTCAGCAAGCCTCTTACTGAACAGTGAAGAAACTCCAACCAAACCCTACTGAAGAGTTTATATTTGTATTGCTGATTCCTATTATGAAAATATTAACTTTTTATTTTCATGATAGGTTTTCATTTATAAAATTTCCCTTGCATAGCAGAAGAAGTTTTGGGATTTTGGAGCCCTTATTCTGACTTCCGGCTCTTAAATAAATTAAACTTTAAAATGTCAAGAGCAATACTGAAAAAGAATGTAGTTAAGATTTCACAGTGACCATAACTATGATTACAATTAGATGACTGTAATGACCCAAAAGATATATTACCTTTATAATTTATGACCCTCCTGGAACAAACTTATTTCAGTACCATCAGGAGATATTCTTTATTGACAAAGAGCAGTGTGACTTTAAATCACCACCGGGCCACTTAGTAGCTCTGAGACATTAGGCAAGTTATTTAATGTCAGTTTACGCACCGCTAAGGTGAAGAGGAAAAGTATAGTTCTGCCTCATAAGCCTGTTATGAGAGTTAAATAAATGAACATATCAGACTAAAGTGCTTAGTCTGATCTTGGCCTGAAGAAGACTCAATAGTTAATGTCACCAAACTGAAATGGCACACACTCTGCTCATATTTTCCTTAGGAATAAAATGTTGAGAAGAGTCATCAAGGGGAGTAGTATATGGTTAAGGTACTAGGTGGCAGGTTCTATTTCGATAGGGCTTTTGCTGGATGTTTGCCTGAAAGCATTAAATACCCTACCACCCAACCCATTCCTTCTGGGGGTAGAGATGGGGTCTATTCCTGCACAGCTGGTCTTCCTTGAGTACTCCACAGAGCGGCCTACGCATCTGGAACAAGTAGCAGACAAGTGGCAAAGCCTGAAATTCAGCCTCATGCTGAACTGTCAGAGGCCCTACTGGAAGAACAGTGTCATCTCTGTCCTGGTCTCCTGGACTGCTAGGCCTGGGAGGAGGAGGCCTCTAGGAGTGCCAGGAACCACGTGGCCTTGGTTCCAGAGAGGTTTCTCTGATGTGGCCTTCCCCGCCAGCCTGATGACACCTGATCTCTCCTCACCCATTGCAGTAGCAGGGGAAATAAAAATCCCTTTTGACTACCCTGGGAAATGCACCACTCAGTAACACCCTTAATGAGGTGCTGCTGCTGTGCTTGGGACACAAGACCAGCGCACGCATGGAAGACTTGGGCTGAGCACAGTCAGGGTGGGAAAGCTGTTCTCTAGGGCACATGAAAGTCCTCTCTGTCATGAGGGAGCAGGTTCTGCTGTAAACAACTAGAGCTGCCCAGTGGGTAAAATCTGGGGAGTAATTCACAGGGCCATCTCTGCCAGCGCGGAGAACGTAGGAGAGAGAAGAAGGCAGTGACCTGCTGGCCCAGAGCTGTCCTCCACCTGGAGAAAACACAACAAATTGGAATGAAGTTTATCTGGCCCTCTGAGAGCTTGTGGCCCTCACTGCCCCCCTCTTAATCCTGTCCAGACGTTTTCCAGGGAAGCTGCACACAAAAAAGGGACCTCTTGTCCTTCATCTCACTCTCCAACTGGCCAAAGTTACTTCTCACTGAGACAAATTGAAAAGAAATCGATTGTTGGGGAGAGGGTGCTGACTTTCAGCAACAGGGACTCTTATTGTCTTGAAAGGCCTCAAAAACTACCAAGTATGGGTTTGTCCCCTTGTGCAGTGACAGGGGCAAGTCTATTAACAATTCTATTACGTCTTCCACAAAGTGCCACACAGCATTTTAAGTCTGAAGTCCTCACAGCAGCCAGGGAGGACTAGTGTTACCCCCATTTTCACACAAGTTCTCACAGCTACAAGGATGACAGCCAGACTGCAAACCCCAGGAGTCTGGCTCCAGAGTGTCCCCCTCTATAAAACAAAAATGACAACTAGCATGAGGAGAGCACGGCATGCTAACACAAAGCAGATAGCACGGCCTTCCCCATGCGCGCCCACTGTTTATCTTCTTCCACTCCACTCCTCAAGGGCTTCAGCAGCTAAAGATCATGAGGGCTGCACAAGGCCTGCAAAAGGAATTGTTTTTCTTGGCTCTGGTTCTATGCTAATAGGTGGTTGAATAAATCGCCTTTTTTAAAAGACACTCACAATAATAATTGCTATGTAAGTCAACACCAAAACCCACGTTTGGAGCTCCATAGGGCTCCTCCATGGGATGAAGCCCAGGAGGCATCACAATCATGAGGCCTCATTGGCCTGTGAGATTTGGGATACACATGAAGATCAGAGGGAACTGGGGCAGTAGGGATGGATGGAGATTCCAGGAACCCATGGCCCCAAAGGGGATATGAGAAAGTAGTGGGAATGTGTTTCCTGGAGGGGGTTTCCTGACTCCACTCTTTATTGCTATCAAGGTCTCCCACATTGTCGCTCACCCTCAAACAGCACCCTGCCGCAGGACCTCCTCACACAGGCACCCAGTGTGAGAGGCCTCTGATGTAGTCCAGGGACCTCACCAGCAGCAGCTGCAGCAACAGGGGAGCATTGCTCCAGTCACATGAATCACCATGTGCTTTTCAGGCTTGAAAGAAATTATGAGGAAGTTGACAGGGAGTGGAAAAGGCTTTTGCATCTCAGACTCAACTGCAGATGCTGGAAGCTGGTCCCTCTGCTTAACATTCTGGAACCTAGGCAGTTCCTGAAAGTGACAAAATGGACTTAGGATCTCTAAAGTGCACAAGGGATAGGAATAACACAAATCAATGACACCAACCAGTATTCTCAAATTGTAGAGACTCCAGAGAATGGTTATTACTCAGGAAGATTTATTCCATCACCTGCCAATTCAAAGTTTGTCCTTTATTTTAATAATATAATATTTTCTTAATTCTGGGTTTACTGGGCAGAAGTTCTTGAGTCCTCTCATGGGTGTCATTCAAACATTATAATCCATCATTTCCACTACTGATCTTTTACTTAAATTAACCCTATAAGAAAGTCCTCAGAGCATATGAATACAAGTTGTGAATATGGGTTAAATTACAAACATGAAAAAATTTTGGTGGGATGTATTTTTTAATGAGAACACATTGTTAGAGTATGTGGCACTCTTGCTTACTAGAAACATTTATAAGTACACATACACATTTATATCCAAACACCAAATAAAGTAGATATTTTAAATGCACCAGAAATAAAATATATTACACAAAACAGGGGTTATATCCACAGTCATTAATTCTTAATTTCTACACAAAATAATAAATTAAATCACATTATATGCAGATAGTTCTACTTACATTAGAATAATAAGTTGTATGTAGCTTGTGCAGCTTTTACTTTTACTTTTCTACCAGACTCATGATAAGTTTGCATTGTTTGGTAGTCCTATATTTAAATTAATGAATAATGTGGCCCAGAAGAGAAGCACACAGAATTTATCCTCCACATTTATCCCATGTTCTCTTGGCTTCAATTATGCACAGGAAACAAAGTTCTAATTCCCAGGACTCAACACAAAGGTCCACAAATTCACAGCCTCTTGGTGCTGCTGGGGGACATTTCATTGCTGTCTTGTAAGATACATGACGTTGATCATTTTCAGAACTTGACATTGAACAATAAATAAGACAACCCATTTCAAAATCCAAATTCGCCCCTCTCTTAGTTTTCTTTGTCCAATAATAATTATTTTCATAACAGCAACAAACTAGTAGTTTATGTCATGACTTACATTTGATAAGTGGCCCTTTGTTTCTTATGGATAGAAATTTAGGCCTTTAAACCTTTGAATCACAGCAATGAAACATTTTTGCTAACTCTTAATTCTACTTGTTCAGAACTTTCCATGAAGAATCATCCCACACCTGACACATCCAAGAGTTGTTTTAACATATGGATTTTTACTTCTGAGTCTCAACTCCCAACGAAAACTTTCATAGCATTGGAAGTAGCTTGAAACGTGAACATCATCCGTATCAGCTGGTTTAGAAAGCTTTGCTTTTGGTATGAATTAACATTAGTGGTTAATGAGAAATTTGAAAGAAGAATCATGATGTATTATGTACAGGTACAAATTCCCTATGATGAATGTGATCATTATGTATATCTAAAATATACCAATAAAATTAATTGGGGAAAAAAAAGAAATTTGAACAAACTCCAACCCAGCACCTTTTGAAAGTTATTTTAATTCTGCACTCTAGCTGTAGAATATGCCTTCAAGAGACATTTGTGAAATCTGTATGCTGAAAACCAAAGCCAGGTTTGTTGGAGGAGATACACATCACAGGTTTGAACTGTCCCCAGGGCTGTGTAGTCACGTTAGTGTGAGGGCTCTAAGTAAAATCAGCCTCTTTCTTCTAGCCATCACTATCACCTCTTTCCCCTCTGAGGAAGTACAGAGACCTAGTCACAAGTTCCCACCCACATAGGCAACATGCTGACACACCCTTGGAATCATGATGGCGGTAGGTGGGGCTGGCTGAGGAAGGAGTGGGAGGGACAGTAGCAGCCTACAAAGGTACTCTTCCCCATTTCTTTTGGAGGATCAAAAGATTCTAACTATGAGCACATTCCAACCTTCTTGCTGAGTCTTGATGTTGAAGAGGGACTAAACTATTACTATTATTATTTAGTTCTAAAGACCAACTGAAAAAAAAAAAAAAGGTCCCTCTAAACAACACCATTTCATTCTCGCTGCTTCCACTCTGCCCCTAAAACATATCCTGTGTTTTTAGACAGTTTCAGTTTTTTCCACTGAACAAGAAATTCAACTCATTACCAACTTCTTATGAAGGCCTGAACCACAGGGTGTAACTAAACAAAACCCATGACACATAGATCAAGGGGCCTAATTTTGGTTGGCGTTTGCCTTTATGACTGTGTCCGTTTGGGTTGTGAGTTCTTTGTGTCCCAAGAAACATAGACACTCGTTCCTTGGAGTTTATAAACACTCCCTTAATACCAATGGCATAATATTCTATTGGATCTCCTAAAGAGACTTCAACAAATAGCCAGCATATGCTCATTTGCAGAAGGTGTTGGTGCCACTAGAACCTACTTCCAAATCCATCACTGTTTGTCTGTCTACAGTGATTTCCACTGCCCTCAAAATCGGTCCCAATCAGAAGAAAACTGGTAAGTTAGGGTCAAAGAAGGCACATGTACCTTGAGTAGGTAAATGGTCCTGGAAGCCTGTGATCAGGGAGAAGTGGCATGGTGTTCCAAAACAAAAGTTTGAACCTCAAGGAAAGGAGAAAAGAAGGTGTTTGTTCTCTTTTTATATGTTTCTACCCTCCCTCCATCAACTATGACTCCTGAAATGTAAAGAACTATTATAAGGCCTGAGGAATCATGACTGTAGTTCAGAAATAGACAAGTTCATAGGTCTTCAGAGAAATGCAGTGTTTACAGGGAATTCCTCATAAAACCTGTGATCACACTGTGAAGAGAGATCATTCCCTATAGAAGTTGTCATGCAGGACAAGATTTTATTTAGGGGGTTCCTCTCACCCCCTAAAATCTAAGATAGTAATAAATCCTGTACTTATTTCCAACACCAAAAAGTATATGTTCATTTTAACCCATATCAGTGTGAGCATATGTGTAACCAAATGATAAAATATCAGAAATCTGAACACCCTGATTTTCAGGGTGAACATTTACAGCATGATTTAAGAACACCCTATGTACCTTACTGTGTGGCTACTAGCAGAGTATGAATAAACAGTTTTCAAAGATGTTGCTTAGCAATTAAGAACTTAAATCTGAAAATATAATCTTCAGATCTTAATCCAGGGCAACCTTGGGCCAAATATCTACATTCCTAGCAAAGGTTTCCAAATTCAATGTTGTTTTCAAAACTCAACAGAGTATTGATAACTCATATAAAGATTTCAAAGGAAAAAAAGAGACAGTAAAAATGTAAATAAGCAATCAACCTTAAGAACACTAGACATTGCTTCAAAATTAGAAGAAAATGATATCCACATACCAAAAAACTCATGATTTACCCTGCCATTTTTAAAGACTAAATTCTCTCTTACTTTACAATCTTATCTAGGGATATAATATTAAATTTATAACTATTTCTCTATCTAAAGTAGAAACAAAAGATATTTGCTCTAAAAATGTTGGCATTCATGGGCTGCTATGTAAATTCTAGGAAGGTCAGAAACGTTTATATCAAAGACTACAACCAGGAAGCATGTTTTTCCCCCTGCAAAAAAGCACATGGGCTTAAAATGAAATTTCTAATCAACACAACAGAGTTCATATGTCTGAAATATATAGAAAGCATCTTGGAAAAATAAAAATGAGAGAGAAATAAGCTGTCTGATTCACATAACTAAGATGGAACCAGTCCTTCCCACCGTTCTTTCATTTGAAGGAGTCTCAAGCCACCAAATACTTTGCTTTCTTGGATTTTACTTTTAAAACTCTCCTACAACAAAATTTCTGGAATTTGCCTTCTTTTTTCCATCATAGCTTGAATTCAGCATGATTTTCCTTTGCAAACAGAATAGGGAACTACAAGGTAGTTGTTTCTGCTGAGCACAGGTCATTATTTTGCCCTCCCAGAAGCCTTCATTTCACTTCCTAAACAAGCAGGAAACAAGTCTCCCATGCAAATAATCTGTTCACTGGGACTGATGCACGAGTAAAAGATGCAGTCTCCTCTAGCAAAGCGAGCAAGGCCAAGCCTGGGATGAGCTGCGTTCACTCGACTCACCTCCGCAGACTGTGACCTCCACCACTGCTGAGGAATTGCTCAAGCTTCCCAGTTTTGCTCTCTCCAGTGTTCCTCCATATTTATGACCTCTAAAGTATGAGGACGGTTTTTAAAGCTATTTTATTGCTGAAGATGTTATTGAGGAAAGACCTCATGGCATATTACAAAATGATACACTCATGGGACAGACTCCCATCCTTCCTTCACTGTCTATTTTCTCCACTAATGATAAGCAAAGATGCCAACCTGAGTTTAAACCTCTGTGCATAGTACTGGGTACAAAGCAGACATGCTGCAAATACTTATCCAACTTCACCCAAATTCCTCACATCTACACCAAACCTACCACAAACTTTTTAGTTTGGGAGACTACAAAGCTCTGCGGAGTTGAATGAAAGGGGATATAGTTCAGAAATTTAGATTCCCTCTTTTAACCAAAATCATCACTGTGAATTTTGGCGGGCATCATGTATACATTTTTTAAGCTTACCATTTCTGTGCCTGCTGTCAAATTCTCACTGTTCATTAAGTTGTTTTTGAAGGAAACAAGCTACCTCCCTTTATAAAACTCTGCAGAATTCCAATAACTTTTCATTCCTCATCTGAGACTCATCATTTGACCAGAATTTAGAAGGACTAGAAATCTAAAGTAACTTGCAGTTAAAACAGTTAAAAATGCAAAGACAGTTTAACTTGATGTAATACTGTAGAGTTTATAATCTGAACACTTTTATAGATCTCTGTAATTAAAGCAGCAATTGGTGTTTGGCTACAGCCAAGGGAAAGAGAGAAATGAGAAAAAGAGATGCATCTTTCATCGTTATTTGTTTGTTGTACATTTTATCCAAGCTTTTAAAATATAAGTGAAATTTAACCTTCAAAATGAAAAAATAGACACATTTTCTGATATTAAAATATAAGATTAAAATACTTAAAAGTAAAATATTAGTGTGAAATAGGGCTTCTTTTTACATCAAAAACAGAAACATTGCAGACTTGCTTTTCGTATATAAATCCTCCCATCTCACTAATATTTACATCTTTCCAGAGTAACTTTTATGAACACTGAAACAGAGAGAGGATCCCTTCTTGAGAGGTGAGTCAGACCTAAGTGCAGACGTTGGACCAAGCACTTCCCTCCACAGAGTTGCCCACCAGCTTCTCAGAGCAATGCTGATTTCCAACATTGGGATTTTTCTCACCATTTTCTCGTTATTGGATGTAAAATTCTTTCCAAGGATATTGTACTTGTTAGAATGATTTTATTCTAACTACAAAACATTTCATTTAAGAAAACCACATTTTTCATATCCTTGTGTGAAATGTCCCCAAAACCCACAAAGATAGGGAGACATCAGATTTTTAAAATTTAAGTCTAATTATATACCCTCAAGCACTACAAACATTAAACACAATAACATTATATCCTATATTTGTTTGACATGAGATGAAAGCCTGGGAGACAGATGGTGATTAATAATAGTTCCTGAGCTTCTAAAGAAATATTAAAATGAAATGACTAACTGCTTTAAAGAATGAATTCTTCAATAACACCCCTTCTGTTCCATTGATGACTTTTATCCATCTATCTCCTTAAGGAATCTCAAGCAGGAAAAAAAAGAAGCCTTCTTTTAAGCCAAGGAAAAGTGAGATCTGATGGAATCTTCCCGTAACTCTCGATGCTTTCCAACATTACTTTCTTCTTGCTGGTTTCTCCTCTCAATGGTTATTCTGTATTTCTTCCTGGGTAAAAGGAAAGTGAATGCAGTAATAAAACCTCAATTTGCTGCAAAATACTATGGCTTCTCTTACAAAGAGTGCCCTTAAGGGACATCTGGGTTTAGTTTGATAAATGAGAAGTGACAGAATATGAAACCCTGTTCAGAGATTAAAGTAGTGTGCCCTAAGGCATTATGTCCTTATTCAAGGAGGAAAATTGGCATGCTTTCTGAAATGCCATAGAACAAGCCCTCCCCTTCTTCCCTGGGTGCCTTTGGGTTAAGTCTTGTCTATTCTGCCCCCAAAGCTCTGCCTGACTCCCAGGATATGCCCTAGATAAAGATCAGATGAAGTGTACTGTGACCAAAGGAACAGGAATATGATTGTTCCCACAAAGAATCACATACACCCAGAGTTACATTCCAGGCAAAAATGCAGAAGTCTTGAGTCTGAAGACTTACAAATAAGCCACAAACTCAACCAGCAAACATTACAAAAGAATGGACCACCCTCACAGTGTGTAACCATCAGAACCTTGAACATCCGCATATATTACAATTTTACAAGACTTGGAGCTTAGCTGTAGTGCTAACGAAGCATGCAAGTTCTCCAGATACAAAACACAGATGAGTCAGGAAATGGGGCACTCTCCTAGACTGTCCTCCTCAGTTCTCTGGCTCACGGGTGGTACGGTGGAAGCCCATGCCCCAGTACCCACTGTGTGAACCCACTGATCCACAAACCTGAGGTCACACTAAAAGACTGGCTTAACTCTCCCAACCACCATGCTTTTTGATTAAATGATATGGACAAATTACAAGGAACAGTGTGTACAAACAAGTAACCAAAACAGAAAAGGAGAGTAAATTTTAACTGTATAAATAATCCCCACCTGAAAAAGTAGAAGGCCATTAGCAAGCCAGCTCCTAGTAAGGCCCCCACAACAATTCCTGTCACTGCTGATTCTTCAAGGCCACCTGCTTAAAAAAGAAACAGATAATCAGGGTTCATTTTGGGAAATAAGTGAAAATGCCTCACATTTCATTTATTGGCAGGTGTCTCTCAACCTATCACTGGAAGCAAAAAGAAAAACTTAAGGAGATTCTGCATTTCTTTTGCCTTTTCTTTCTTTTTTTTTCCCAATGCCTAATGGAAAGCTTTAAAAAAGCTTTTCAGATTACTAGATAAACACAGTGCTACAAGAAAGTGAGCAGAACAAGAACAAAAACAGATTCAAGACAGACTTGAGCAAAACTGGAAAGTGAAGATTCCAGATGTGTCCTCAGCCTTTTGAGTTTATAATCAAAGATGAGAACTGGATTGACCATGGCATTGACCCAGCACTTCTGATTTTCACAGATGGATGGTGACACTTCCAAGTGCTAGAAGATTTGGTGAAAACTCATTGGGTCAGTGTTCTGTTTTTAGATGTTCTCTCACCAAAGCCAGAGTTCCATGTCAAAATGTCCTATATAGCTTTCTGAAAATTGGAATAACAGCTTGAAACAATCATGTTCGGTGTCCCAGTTATACAAAAACAATAAGTAGCTAGCTTTGAATACAGTTTAGTATATGGCCTCCAGTAGATTAACTCATTCACTCCTCAAAGCAGGATTTACAAATTGGGTATATTTATTTTATTTTATATATGGGGAAACTCAGGCTTACATAGTTGAAAGAAATCTCCTAGAGTCACAAAACCAGCAAAAGACAGGATGAGATTTCAAATCAAGGGCCAATAACTCCAGAGACTATGTTCTCAACACACACCCTCCTCAACCCCTCCGTGTAATTATTGCGTGAACGTCAGTACTTCACAGTAATCAGTATTCACTTAGCTCTTCCTCACTAGCTTGCAAAAAAGCCTCTTTAAAGCAGTGATTTGTAATAAATTTTCTATTTATAAATTAGTTATAAGAACATCTACTTCTCTGTTTATGAATAAAGGTTCTTTGTAAATAATCCATTTATTTACCAATTTGTAAATTTTCAGGTGTTTGAATCTGAATCTTTAGAGGATCACTATAAAGTTTAAAAGCAGAATGAGACTTGTCATAAGAGATGAATACATGAGTAATGTATATAATTAATCATCTGCTTTCTTCTAAAACGTAAATCTCAGGTACCTAAGAGATGATAGCAAGAGATATAGAAGTAGGTAGAAGGTGTCTACCATTGTAGATGAGAACTGAGTGGAAGAAAGACCTGGAAACCACTGAGAACAGCAGGACCAGTTTGTGAATAGTTCCCATGTGTCTCACCACATTAAAAAGAAAAGAAAAAGAAACCAGAACTTGCAGAGAATGAGCTTCTAGAGAACAGGTTTGGGAGCCTCACACAGGCTGAGGAAATACTCGGCACGTTAAGTCGCTGAGCTTACATGATTTGCAGGGAGAGCTGTTGGTATGCTCCACGATTCTGGTTTCGTCTATTCGCAGTTTCAAAGGGCCCCAAGGATATTTGACATTTGGCCGCATTTCAAAACGACCTTCTTTTCCAAAGTAATCACCAATAACCTACAGAAAGGCAAAAAAAAAAACAAAGTTACAAAAGGAAAGGCCAAAGGTACCTGCTTGCAAAGGAGGCATGTAGCTCACAGCCTGGCTCGGCTACTCCCCCAACTGAGCCTAATTGAAACAGGCTGCCTTTGGGTCCAAGGAAACCGGATGGCCACTTCCTCAGCTCGCTTCCTCCAAGAAATCTCAGCAAGTGCTTCAGAAGAGCACAGAGCCTGCAGACTCCTCTCTTGTACAGACTGACTGTAGCTGAGGACCTGGTAAGTCAAGATTCAAAGTCACTGATGTTGTTATCAAGGTGGACATGTGTGAGGGAGAAGAGAAACATGGTCATTCCACCGCAGAAGGGTGCAGATGTGGAAAAGGAGGCCATGCCACCCAAAGTCTGCCCCTACTGGAGTCTGTCGTCCCTGAATATTCTTTTCCTTCTTTTTTTTAGGTGGTGGGGATTGAATTAACCCAAGGTTTTCTCACTGAGCTATATCCACAGTCTTTTCTTTTTTCTTTTCTTTTCTTTTTTGTTTCGATACAGGCTCTTGCTAAATTCCTCAGGTGAAACTAAAACTTGCAAATTTCCTGTCTCAGCCTCCCAAAGTGTTTAGATTACAGGTATGCACCACCACACCCAGCTCCCCGGACATTCTTTTTTTGTTTTTCTTTTTTTTGGTTCTGGAAATCAAACTCAGGACCTGGTGCTTGCCAAATAGGCGCTGTGCTGCTGAGCTATATCCCTGGTTCTCGCTGGGTATCCTTTAGTCTACTACCTGATGGGACAGGAGGATTTTTTTCTCCTGTGTAAACACTTTTGAAAGTCAGAGCTTCTCCTTGCTTATCTTCCCATAGGGCACTGCCCTACCCATCTGCCACAGAGCAGCCCACACCGCCAGCCATTTGTAAGGACCAAATAACCTTCAGGGACCTATGCAGAAGAGCCAGGGCCCACTGAATATCCAGGTGAAGCATATAACAGGTAGACAGCTTCACACCTTCTGGTAGTCTGACAAGTAATTAAAGCATTAAAGAATATCTGTTAGGGATTTCCTGTTTACCAGGCTACCTTTGGGGGTTACACTGTACCCTGATGAATTCTCCCTTGTTGCACCCTCATGAACAAGCTGAACCCTTTCAGTTAGCTCCTCCACCCCCTCAAAAAGCACTACTCTTATGGTTTAGTTTCAGGCCTCCACTTCCGGCCAAGATAACTGTTGAAGCAGCTACCCGAGCCTGGATCTGGGAGTACCTTCCGATCCAGGTTCTCAGGACTCATTTCTATTTCGTCTGGGCACAAGACACGGCTCTTGGGCGGCCCTCAAAATCTGCCCTCTCTCTTCTGTCCAAGCAGGCTCTCACAGGCTATGTCGGGTTATAATAATAAAAGAGTTCCAGTTCCTTCTCAAAATATAAGACTCACTGGCACGTGCTGAGCACTTACCCAACTCTTCACAACTGCAAGATCACAAAGCACTAGTACTTCCCACTTCTTCCATGGGGGAAACGACTACAGACGAGGCCCTGGGCTATTGAAAAGGTAAAAATCTCACTAAGAAAAGTGTGTGGGGCACTCCTACTGCCTTGGCCCCTCCTGCAAAGGCCAGGCATATCTGAACAAAGCAGAAAACAGCAAGTCCCATGTTCCAGAGCCATATAAGGTGACAGAGCAATGATCCTGGGCATGAGCCAACAAGGAAACACAGAGGAAGGGGCATTACCTGCTAAAACATTGAATGTTTGCCTAATTCTTATATACATATTTATCACTTCAGTCGTGTATAGTACTTTTCTAGGTTTCACGTTATCTGGTCTTAATAGTCATGTGAGATGCGCAAGGAAGATGCTGTGAATTCCATGTGTAGCTGAGAGAACCAAAGCAGAGTTCACACCTCTGTAAGCATCAAAGACTACTTTGTGTCCGGGTCCTCTTTTCTTTTCACAATGCTATCCTGAAGGCACACTATCTTTTAAAATACTACATGTAGAGTTTATAACCAACACCAGGAGAAAAACATCCCCACATTTAAGGGCAAATGCAGTTTCATTTCACATCTTTGATGCAGGGCCCCTGTAGCACAGGACTCTGCTACGATTCTTGACCCCTTGAAAGTTAGGGTTTCCACTGTGAGTGTAAATGTGGAACCATTTCCTAACTCTGCCCGGATGCCCTCAACCAAGAGTGAGCTGCCCTTACTTAGTGCTCCCATCTTTTCAATGCATTCTTATTTGAAGACTATTCTGAAGACAGCCTACTGGACATCAGAACAAAGACGCTCTTGGTGTCACCCTTGCAGAACCCTCCCTCACTCACCTCCTGGGTGCCTGCTTCTGCGTCAGTCATGGCGATCACAGAGAAGTCCCCGTATCGGTCTCCATTGGCATCTATGGATACCTGCCCGGCAATACCTGTAGGACCAGAGGTGAAGAACTCCAAGTTAGTTACTGAAAGTATCTCCGTCTGCCAAGAAAAACAAGAAAATGAATTACAGGATTTTTTAAAACAAACTCATGCCACAGGGAATCTCATCAGACTTCGAGCATTTTTGTTGGCATTTAGAAAGACATTATAATTTCATCTGTGTCTGCATTCCTAAATTCTTAACATTTCTCCATTTAAAAATGAAAAGAAATAGAAATAAATGATCTTCTTTGGGGAACACAGTTTTTAAAAAAAGAAAGATTAAGGCTAATCCTGAAAGCAGCAGGCTTATTCCAGTGCTTTGTACTAATTTTTCTTAAAAATGGCAAGGTGGGAAGTAGAGATGCCTCATCATAGGTTCACATTATCACTGGACAAATATTATGAGAGGGTAATCAGTCCAGGTGCAGGAAACAATGAATGTGCTTTCACAAGGCTGTAGTACAGAGGAGAGCAGAGGGCCTGCTTCAAGGGTCCCCAGAGCCAAGGGCTACAGAGGAGCTGTTCCTTCCCAGCCCGTTGTGTATACTCATTATCTACCCAGATGTAGCTGGAAAATTACTAGGCGCCAAATCAGTGCAACACCTAAGACAAGATGAACTGAACACAGTTAGTTCAACGGTATAAGTGTCTGCCCGACAAGCACAAGGTCCTGAGTTCGATTCCCGGTACCAAAAAAAAAAAAAAAAGAGAGGGGCAGCCTGGATTGGGGGTTTAGTCAGTGCACACTGGAGTGTGCTTGACAGCACTGAATTCCAGCTTTGACATCCCTCCCTGTATGACCTGGGCAAGACCCCTTGCGCCTCAGTCTCTACAACTGTAAAATGGAAATAATAATAGGTCCCCTACCAAGAGGCCATGAAGATGATTACATGACATAAAACAAGTAAAATACTTCCAAAAGATATTTCAGAGACATTAGTTGTTTTTTTTACTGTTAATATTACTGTCATTGTTTTTGTTACTACACAGTAAGCATCCCTAATTCAAAGTGCTTAAGATGAGAAGTGATTCAGATTTCAGATTTTGGACACACACATTGGGGTATCTTGGAGATGAGACCAAAATCTAAACACAAAATTCACTTGTTTCACCTTATGCACAGCTCCAAGGCAATTTTATATGATATTTTAAATAATTTTGTGCCCATAAGAAAGCTGTCATGGAAAGGACTTTTCCATTTGTGATGTCAAAGTTTCTAATTTTGGAGCATTTCAAGTTTCAGCTTTTTGGATTAGGGATGATCAATCTGTGTTTGTTTTATAATTACTATTATTACTGATAATGCTGTACTTAAAGTCAGGCAGAGGACTCTGGCTATGCCACTCAGAGGAGGGGCTAGCACAGCAAGTTGGGGAAGCCAGGGAACTCAGTAAAAAAGCAGGAATTGTATAGGTACACTAAAGGAAATCTGTGATTTAGACAAGCCAGAAAAGTTGCTCTAGTTGTATTTCCAAAGGCACAGAGGTTAAAAAAAAAAAAAAAAAAACAGAGGAAGTGTGAGGCTCCTGGGGAGATGGCCCACACATATGAAAGGGTAATGCAGAGAGACGTGAGGCTGGGTAGCCCGAGCCTAGAGACCCTTTAGTACCCACTTGTTTTGGCCAGCAATGAGGCTTAGAGCAGCTACTCAATAAAAGCAACTGCATACCATTGGCTGATACTGAATATGTCTATATTTTCATTTGCATTCACTAAGTAGGAGAATGCACATGACAGCCACATTCTAATTAACTGAAGCTATTCGTTTTCTTTGTGGGAGAGTTCATTGTAATCCCTAACTGATGTTTCTATTGACTTGGTTCCCTCTAGGAGTACTGACTCCCCTAGTAAAATGAAAGTTTTGGGGAAAAGTATCCCAAGGGAAAGTTCCATCCTCTAGTGTGGTTTGGAGAGGGCAGGTATTTGGGTTTACTGTCCTTTGGGCTGTGGTTTGAAGGCCCACTGATTTTTCCAAACTTTGGTCTACTTTGCTGGAAACAGAATGGGGCTGCCATTCATTTTGATTTTTTTGTCTTCTTAAGATAGACTGGTTACAAAGCTCACACCTTACCTCAAACTTTTACTGTATGTCTTTGACAGCCTATCAAATTTAAGTGATGAATATATATTTTAAATATACACATAAACATATGTAGATATTATAAATCAGCTATCCAAAACCACTTGTCATTCTCTTCAGAGGTGTCTGCAGTGGTGTGTCCTGCTCAATATTTGGCAGAATATTTTATAAGGCAAGGTATCCCTAGTAATCAAAGACCTTATTACACGTTAAAATTATTACAGTTTTGTGGAGAAATGGGGTGAGAACCTAGGGTGACTGGTTAACAAAGTGAGACTTCACCTGAGAGTAACAGACATGAGGTGAGATTGTCAGAATTTTCCTGCACCTAACTAATGAGACTTTCCACCCTCATTTCTGTTTGCCTGTAGCAGGGCACAAGGTCTGAGCCGCAGGCCTATTTACCATGTCGCTCCGACCTCTCACACAGAGGAACTCAGCTTCTTCTCAGGCCATTTATTGAAAGTCTTGAGAGTTGATCACAGGTTTCATGGCAATAAAATCCAAATTTGTCAAGCAACATCCAGAGTATTTTTCCCTTGACAACTTAATGGTCACTTACAGAGGCCACTAAAATTAAAATTGCTTTTAATTTTAGGAAGGCTAGGGTTTTTCTTCATACAGATATCTTAAGGTTCTTTTTAGGCTTACCCTTAAGTGGACTATTATTTAGCAAATAAAATGGACTCTTCAAGCCATTCAAACCCAAAACATACCTTAGCTTCAATTATCTTTACTATCTATGGACAAATGAGATTCTAATTTTAGACAGAATCACACTGTTGGCTGTATCAGGACTCACAGCAAGTGCCTTACAGAAGTGGCCCTATAATGGAAGTGTCAAGGTGACCTATGGGAAAATTTTGCCCATGACCCAACTCCATGCAAAGCTTCCTTCCAGCCATTGTGGGCACCTGCCCTTCCCTTAACCTCGCTCCAGGTGCCCTCCAGCACTCCCCAACTCTGGCTCCCATCCTTTTGTCAGAAGACCAAGGACAAATGACCACACCACGTAGTGAGTAATAGCTAAAAGTGGGATGTGGCCGACCAAGGTTGTGTTCCACACACAGGTTCTTAGCGTGTTCTGCACAACTTCTGGGAAACTCAGTGTTGTCCTAATGTGCCCCCTGGATTGCCCCACTTGGCTCCTCCTCCTCAGCTGAAGCAGTCAGAGGGAAAGCAAAATCACCTCAGAGGCTCAGTCCCCCACATCTTACTTACTATCTATCAGAAGTGAAAGGGGATGTCACTCTAGTTTTTGAGTATGGCATGGCATCCACTAAAAATAAAGAAAAACAAAAATCCACCAACCGCCACCACAGCTACGGCCCAGACAACCCTCGCTGGGGCTTCACTGCCCTTTCCAATGCCTAAGGGAAATTGAAGGCCGTGGAGTCTCCCAATGGGGGGAGGCCTCCATATATATATGCCCAGGAGCTACACCCGGCAGCACTTGCTCTTGACATTGAAAACTTTCATTCGCGAGATTACAAAGGCATCCACACGCACACCCCAATCCAAGAAAGGGCTCAAGGAAGTGCAAGCGCGGGGCAGAACTGGAAGGGTGCCTGTCAGTCACCAACTAGTCCAGCCTCCTCATCAAGCAGGTGAAGGAAGAAGCTCAGCAGACAGCGATTACAAGTTAGTGGCTGGATGCAGGAGCCTGACCGAAGGCCAGCAATCCGCACTCTAGGTTAATGATTCTTGAAAGACATCCATCAACGTACTGAAGTTCACTTCCCACAAAGCAGCCATAATATGTCACCAGAAATCTTCATGGACTTCCCATTCTCAGGCAGAGCCCAGTTCCCTAGCAAGGCCTCCCTCCGGGTTCACAGACTCTGGCCTCGCTCTCTCCAGCTTTGATTCCTGTCACCCTGTCCCTTATACGTGTGTCAAATATAGTCCCCAGTTCCTGGAGGACACTTCGCAAGTTCCCACCAGAGGTATTGAGGCTTTCTGTAATCGCTGTGCTTTCCCCTAAACATCAACGCAGCTCCTCCTACTCCCTCGGGTCCCAATCCTGCTGCCATGTCTCTGACTACTCTAAATCAGCAGTCCCATTCCTCCCCTGTCATCATTTTTTTTCCCATCTCCCTACCCTACTTTATTTTATATTTTCTTAAATGGCAACTCTACTTGTTTACTGCCTGCCCCTACTAACTTCCACGTAAGCTGAACTGGCTGCAGCGAACAGCTTTAGTTCACTGTTGAATCCTCAGTTCCTTGAACAGTGACTGGCACATAGTAGGTGCTCAATGAATACTTGAATGAATGAACGACTGAATGAACAAATGAATGAATGAATAGAAAGTTGATGTTTGCAGGGCAACAGGAACCAACTCATTTTCTTAGTGAGTTTCACGTTATTCGGAGTGTTGGTGAGGTGAGAGGAAACCAGTCTAAACTCCTTATCAAATGGATAAAGAAAAGAAGCTCAGAGGAAGGACTGCACTCTTGTATACTTTATGGGCAAAAATACAGAACAGCAGACTTTTCTGGAAAACATTTGTCAATATCTACTACACTTTATAAAGCACTAATTTACTTGTGGACCAAGAATTCCCACAATTAGGAATGTTCCCTGTTGGAAATATTCACAAAAACACATCAAAAGGTGCAAGAGGTTCATGACAGCATACTAAATAATACCAGAAGTTAGGAACAACTGAAGTGTCCACCAGTCAAAGGGGGTCAAAGAAATTCTTAAATAGTCCAAAGGTGGACTAATATGTAACTCCCACTTGATAAGTGTTCATATAGAAAAATCTTCTATTTGATGACATACAAGTAAAAAAATCTAAGATGAAAACTGACATTCATAGTGTGACCCTTTTTATATAAAAGTTCCAGATAAGGTAAAAATGCATACATGCTGGCAGAGGCATAAAATATTTTTAGACAGAATCACACAGAAAATTGTTAATAGTGACAACATTGAGGAAGAGGATTAGAATGGGAAGAAAAGCCTTCACTTCTCATTTTGTCCACTTTTTTTTGAGACAGGGTCTCACTATGGCAGTTCAGGCTGGCCTTGAGCTCACTTTGTAGCCCAGGCTGGCTGGAACTCGCATTGATCCTCCTGCCTCAGCCTCCCATGTGCTGGGATTACAGGCGTGCACCACCACACTCAGCAATTTTGTACACTTTTATACTGGTTTAATTTTCTACCCAAGAATAGTCTTGCCAGATGTGGTGGCACACATATGTAATCCTAGTACTTGGCAGGCTGAGGCAGAAGGATCACCAGGAGTTTGAGGCCAAACTGGACTACATACATAGTGAGTTCAAGGCCAGCCTGAACTACATAGTGAGACCCTGTCTCAAAAAAAAAAAAAAAGTAGTCTTAGTCTTGTTTAATTTTTAAATGTCAACAGATGTTGCTTGAGCAATAAGATTATAGGCAGAGAGCAGTGGGGCCAGCTGGACATGCTAACCATCTTGAACCACCAGGTTTAACCGTGTAGTAAAGTCTTCTGAGTTTCACAAAAATGAACATAGTCTGAACAAAGGGATGCATATCTGGAATTAACACTTCGTTTAAAGCCAGTCACAGATCTCTTCAGAAATTGATTGTGAATGAGGTTTGTGTTAAATGTAAATTTAAGAAGCACAGGGTTAGCTAAATAATTAGCTAAATATTAGCTAAATAATTAGCTAATATATAATAATTAGCTAATAATAAATAATTAGCTAAATATTAGCTAAATAATCAGAAAGAAACATTTTCTATTTCAGTGAGGCTTTTCAAAGAAGATGCATTTGGTCTTTATTTATTATCCACCCTTTGAAAGTAGGAAAAAGCGAGACACTGGAAAGGTCCCATAGTTTCAACTGAGAAAAACAACCACAGAAGAAGCAGCTCAATCAGCTACAGGGCTGTCATCCTGTAGAGCAAATCCCTACCTTCAAATGTCCTGTTCCAAGTCTGTTGGATGATCTTCCCTCCATCCTTCTTGCTATAGCCAGCTCTGAGAACTTCATGTAAAGCCAGGACATACAGGAGGATGGCATCGTGGAAGCCTTCAACAAACATGTTCACCTGAAAAGGAAACCCCAGTTGGGTGAATCTGAACACCAAAATGACTCACATTCATCAGTTGAGAGGCAAGCACAAAAGTTCACAAGTGAGCCTGGAGGTCTCAGAGGGCTGGCAGGGTGGGCAAGAGGGCAACTAGCAAGTATCATACCATGGTTTTCTGGCAAGGGCTGAGTGAGGAAAACCTCTCCCCAGTTTGAGAACTTAGAGAATAGACAAGATATTACAGAAGGCAAGAAAACCAGACCTGCTAACCAGGTTAGTTATTCCAGCCTTTGCCCATAGTTCCCTGGGCAGAGATACCCTCCTTACTCCTGTCTTTACTGCGAGTCAACATGAATCTACCTCCGCCTTGAGGTCTTAGCTATCTTGAAGAGCCCCCATGATCTCTCCATGCTGTAAATGTAGAACACACTAAAAGAGAAGTAGGTGTCCCTTCCTTCCCACCCAATGATTGTCAAGTGGCCATTAGCATACATGTGCTAAAAAATGCAAAGAAAAGTGGACACTGATTTCTGCCTGCCAGCAGGGCCAGCATCTGTGTCCTCTCCACTGTCAATAACCTCTCCATCTCTCTTTCCACTCCCTGCCAAGCTCCAAAGACAGGAATGGAAAACAGGTTCGGGCCTCTGGTACATTCCATTGGGCTCTGCCTCAAGTACGTGGCCTTGCCCTCCACACACAGTTTCACTAACAGAAACACCAGCCAAGTGACCTTGGGAAAGTGGCTTAGTCATGTTGGCTTTGTTTCCTTCATCCATTCACTGACCACCAGAGTAGGGCCTTCTTTAAGACGTGGTCACAAGAGTCACATGACACAGAGCCCAGCACACATTGAGTATTCAACAAACACAAGCCAAACATTGTTAAGACCATTTTATAGACTCTAACATGTCATTGGTGCTGTGTTAGAGGTTTGTTCAGGACAGAAAAAAAAAGAGAAAAGCAGTCAATACTATCGGTCAAAGAGGGACAGGCAGGAGAGGCTTTAAACACAATGGCAAAAGTTGAACTGAGTATTGAAAATGAGATCTCGGGGTGGGGTGTTGAGGGAAATACTTCAGGTGCCATAGGCAAAGGCTCCAAGTCAAGGCGCATCCCGATAGGTTGCTGTATTCAGAGCTCCAAGTATTCTTCAAGGCTGTGGGCAGGAGGGGCAGGGCAGTGCTGAGCCACTAGGCAGAGAGCTAAGAAGACCCAGGTCCTTTGGAACCGGAAGGCTATACTGTACTGAAGAACTCCGGCTATGTTCAGCAGACACCTGATCACTTTGCTCCACTTTATAACTAGATAATGAGCACCCTTGGATAGGTCTTAAAACCACATTTAAATGCATTGTAACCTCCACTGGACATGAAATAAGTGAACACAATCTTGGAACATTGAGTAATTTACCATCTCTGTATAAAAAGTACAAAAATAAATTCACACCTTCTCATTTCAGGGCACAGATGCCAAGGAAGCAGAATGAGCTGGGCATTTGTTTCCTGGGGCACCATTATGAGGCTCTTGTGTGATGCATGACCCGTGCCCCCTTAGAAGTTCACCCTGTCTTCAGAGACATGACCGACTTGTGTTGCCTGGCTCGAATGCAGGCTCACAGAAAGCACAGCCCGCCACTGGTGTCATGAGGCCTCAACTCACACCTAAGGACAGTGGGTCCTGATCCTTACAGAAGCAAATGTCTCAGACTTGCCAAAGGTCAGTGTTGCAAAGCAGGTTAGAGCAATGGCTAAAGAACCAAGCCTACTTTGCAGCTCTGCCACTTCTTTGCTGTGTTTCTGCACAAATTGAGCCTCAGTTTCCCTATCTGGAAAATGAGAAAAAGTTATCTCCTTGGTACATATCTCATTGGTAATAGTCGGATTTAAATGACTTGATAAAATTAAAAGACTTCTAACAGCATCTGACAGAATCCTCACCCACTAGTGGCAACTGTCTAGAGGTAGAGAATTATAAATGTAATGATTCTGCTTAGATTTTAATTCCTAATAGCAGCATTCAGAAAATAAGCAACTTAAGTACAGGTATAGCATATCTTATTGACCCATTTCACACTTGATGAAAACTAAGGCTTCTCACTCCTGCTGTGATGTCCTGGCAAATCTCTTACTTCCACAACGTGAAGATCTTAATTCTTCACCATATGATGAGTATAGCCCACGCTGGTCAATCCTGCTGAGCCTCAGCTGGAGGGGAATGGTTGGAAAACGTGCTGGTTCACATGAGAACCCAGAGTTGGTCGGGTGGATCCACAGCTCATTCTCAGACCTGCCATAGCAGTTAATGTTTCTGGTCTTCAGTTTCCTCATCTGTTAGGTAGGGGTTGAGAACTAACTCCCAGGGTAGAGTTTTACTGGATTTTAAGTGAACTAGTTTATGTAAAATACCTGAGACAGATCCTGGGACCAGAAAAGCACCTGGTAGAAGCTGTCTCTTACTCTTAGCTGTCAACCTTAATCTCAGAGTCACTATTTTCTTGGGCAAAGAATGATGAATAAATAACATCTACTAGTCAAATATAATTTTCTGCCATGCTAATTCAATTTTCTGAAGAAATACAAAATTTTCACGTAGGCCATAAAGGTATCATGGCTTGAGAAAGCATATATGCTGGTATATTTTAGCTTATATATAAGCTATATATAGCTTATATATAAGCTTATATATATATATAGCTTATATATATATAGCTTATATATATAGCTTATATATATATAGCTTATATATATATACTTATATATAAGTATATTTTAGCTTGTAATTTTCCAGCCACAATAACGATTTTTACAAGATCTATCTTCTCATTGATAATTGTACCCACCTTGTTACAGAGAGAAGTCACGGAATCACTGAGTTGTGGAATAGGGGAGATGTAAGTGTCTTAGAAAAACTCCAGTTTAATCCCCGCCATACTTAACGACCAAAAGTGACAACTCCCTCAGTCTTCCTGCATTTTGTTCTTCAGTGTCATGTTCTGAAGCCCCTCGCTCTGGACCATTTAGGATGACCCTGCTAAAATGATCAAGTACAAGGTGTGGGGCTTCACCTGTCCACCTCTCTTTCTTCTCCTCTTGTCCTCTTCTCAGAACCCTAACCCAGAGCCACCTGAAGCAGTACACTCACATCAGCACTACCCTGTCTGGACCACTCCCTTCCTCCCTCCTCAGTATGTCTTCTACAATCCAGGATGGGAAGAATGATTATCTGACCAAGAAGGATGAACTAGGACTACTTTGTTCCAACAGGTGCCATGATAGATGAGACTGGATGGCTCTGAACACCTGCCCAGGTCTGAAACGCATTCCATCTTGATTTGCAAATGGATCACATTTGCCTTCTTTTCTCTCAAAGTAGCTGCGTGTCTCCCTTTCTTGTCAAAATTAGCAGGAGAGCTGCTGGCCCTGAAGAGGCTCACTGCCACCCCACTCTGCTGTGGAGAAGGTTTCAACACCTACCTCATAGGACCTCAGGCCAGAAGCAAAACCCTAGGGAGCATCTTTTCTAGAAGAGAACATTCTCACATTCACACGTGTTTTTTAATAGGAGGAAAGCCCGTTAGCACATTATAGACACTGAAAATTGGAGGTGCAAATTAAGGGCCAGAAAACAAGGAAGAAAAAAAGAGTATGAAATTATCTTAGGAGTGCTTCCCCCTGGACCTCCAAGCTGAAAGGATTCTGGTCATTTGCTCTACTCCTTTGCTTCTGGACTGAACAGCACTTGAACCTCAGAGTCCTGACAGATACAGATAGTTCTATCTCTACCAATTACAGAAAATAGGATTCCCCCCTAAGAAACTTGTTCAGGATTTAGCATTTTTTTGCCAGAAAGTCCTTCCTTACTGTCACTAGCCCTAAGTCTTATATAAATTCCTTAATTCAGCCATGCTCCTGCTAGATGCTAAAAAAGCTGGATTACAAGAAGAACAGTTTATAATCTCCACCACATAGCACCACCATTCCATATGGATATGTGGATGGTCTGGGTCCATGGAAATCATTACATGGACCCCCATCAATGACCTTCTGCTCTGAAAGCACGTGCCAAACCCTGAAAATAAAATCTTTCCAGCTCTCTTCAACCACTGGAGGTTGCAGATAGCAGAAGTGGTGGGAATACTGTGTAGGCAGCCCAAAGATCAAAGAATAGTCCACATTTGATGAAAACTTCATAAATAAATTCTGCCCTTTAAAAGTATAGTGACATCTTGATTACTTTTCTCATTGCTGAGACAAAATATCTGACACCCAAAGTTAAAGGAGGAAAGGTTTATTTCACCTCATAGTTTATAAAGGTTTCAGTCCATAGTCCACTAGCTCCAAGGAGGGTGGAATGGCACAGGGGAATAGCAAAGGAGAAACAGTCCATGGCAGAGCAGGCAGGAGGCAGCAAAGCAGCAAACAGCCAGCTTGCCTTTCCCTTTTATCCCATCCAGGCTATAAACCTTTTGAGTGGTGCCACCCATACCAAGTGGGACTTTTATCTTCAGTAAATCCATTCAGCCACACCCAGAATTATGCTAATTCCAATCAGTGGACTAATTTAGTACCACCCTTGGTACTTAATCCCAGTATCACCCACACTAGATCCAGCCAGCTCTGAAAAGCCTCACCTGTGAGCACATGAGGTTTTTGGGGAACATCTAAATGCCAGCCAGAACAGTAACTGTTTTCATTCAGTTTCCTTGTAAATCATAGAATTAAAAGTCTACAATTTAGGGAAATGGTAGGAACTGCATCTACCAAGTGAAATCACTACCTCCTTGACACCACACAAGGGAATCTCACTCTCACTGACAGATACAGTAGTGTCAGCTCTTTTAAACTGTGCCAGCCTTCATGGAATTCAAACTGGGATGCTTGCTGACTTATTTTAACTTGAGAGAAGTTAAACTGAACATCTTCACCCTTATCCTGGTTGAACTCTGAGAAAATGCAAACAGTAAATAACTTACTGACAGGCAGTAAATCTCCACCTATGGCTCTGTACTTGGCTAAAAC